GTACATCCAGCTGACGAGTCCCAAACAGGACGAAACGCGCGTCCTGGATTCCACTGCTAGCCACTATCCATCTTTGCTTATAATGCTTGTAAATTTAGGCAATATCGAGGCATACGCACAGTATGCACATATGCCAATAAGAGACTGATCAATTTCAGTCCAAAAACATCATTGGGAAAATTCAAGTAAAACAATATCAAGTGAATTCAACTTCAACCCATTGCACAAGCAAGTGGCTATCAGGACTCAGTAGCTAAGTGGATAACGCGATGGCGTTTGAAGCGAACGGTACTGAGTTCGAGTCCCAGAGTGAACATCAACTCTGAGATGCAGGTACATCCAGCTGACGAGTCCCAAACAGGACGAAACGCGCGTCCTGGATTCCACTGCTAGCCACTATCCATCTTTGCTTATAATGCTTGTAAATTTAGGCAATATCGAGGCATACGCACAGTATGCACATATGCCAATAAGAGACTGATCAATTTCAGTCCAAAAACATCAATGGGAAAATTCAAGTAAAACAATATCAAGTGAATTCAACTTCAACCCATTGCACAAGCAAGTGGCTATCAGGACTCAGTAGCTAAGTGGATAACGCGATGGCGTTTGAAGCGAACGGTACTGAGTTCGAGTCCCAGAGTGAACATCAACTCTGAGATGCAGGTACATCCAGCTGACGAGTCCCAAACAGGACGAAACGCGCGTCCTGGATTCCACTGCTAGCCACTATCCATCTTTGCTTATAATGCTTGTAAATTTAGGCAATATCGAGGCATACGCACAGTATGCACATATGCCAATAAGAGACTGATCAATTTCAGTCCAAAAACATCAATGGGAAAATTCAAGTAAAACAATATCAAGTGAATTCAACTTCAACCCATTGCACAAGCAAGTGGCTATCAGGACTCAGTAGCTAAGTGGATAACGCGATGGCGTTTGAAGCGAACGGTACTGAGTTCGAGTCCCAGAGTGAACATCAACTCTGAGATGCAGGTACATCCAGCTGACGAGTCCCAAACAGGACGGAACGCGCGTCCTGGATTCCACTGCTAGCCACTATCCATCTTTGCTTATAATGCTTGTAAATTTAGGCAATATCGAGGCATACGCACAGTATGCACATATGCCAATAAGAGACTGATCAATTTCAGTCCAAAAACATCAATGGGAAAATTCAAGTAAAACAATATCAAGTGAATTCAACTTCAACCCATTGCACAAGCAAGTGGCTATCAGGACTCAGTAGCTAAGTGGATAACGCGATGGCGTTTGAAGCGAACGGTACTGAGTTCGAGTCCCAGAGTGAACATCAACTCTGAGATGCAGGTACATCCAGCTGACGAGTCCCAAACAGGACGAAACGCGCGTCCTGGATTCCACTGCTAGCCACTATCCATCTTTGCTTATAATGCTTGTAAATTTAGGCAATATCGAGGCATACGCACAGTATGCACATATGCCAATAAGAGACTGATCAATTTCAGTCCAAAAACATCAATGGGAAAATTCAAGTAAAACAATATCAAGTGAATTCAACTTCAACCCATTGCACAAGCAAGTGGCTATCAGGACTCAGTAGCTAAGTGGATAACGCGATGGCGTTTGAAGCGAACGGTACTGAGTTCGAGTCCCAGAGTGAACATCAACTCTGAGATGCAGGTACATCCAGCTGACGAGTCCCAAACAGGACGAAACGCGCGTCCTGGATTCCACTGCTAGCCACTATCCATCTTTGCTTATAATGCTTGTAAATTTAGGCAATATCGAGGCATACGCACAGTATGCACATATGCCAATAAGAGACTGATCAATTTCAGTCCAAAAACATCAATGGGAAAATTCAAGTAAAACAATATCAAGTGAATTCAACTTCAACCCATTGCACAAGCAAGTGGCTATCAGGACTCAGTAGCTAAGTGGATAACGCGATGGCGTTTGAAGCGAACGGTACTGAGTTCGAGTCCCAGAGTGAACATCAACTCTGAGATGCAGGTACATCCAGCTGACGAGTCCCAAACAGGACGAAACGCGCGTCCTGGATTCCACTGCTAGCCACTATCCATCTTTGCTTATAATGCTTGTAAATTTAGGCAATATCGAGGCATACGCACAGTATGCACATATGCCAATAAGAGACTGATCAATTTCAGTCCAAAAACATCAATGGGAAAATTCAAGTAAAACAATATCAAGTGAATTCAACTTCAACCCATTGCACAAGCAAGTGGCTATCAGGACTCAGTAGCTAAGTGGATAACGCGATGGCGTTTGAAGCGAACGGTACTGAGTTCGAGTCCCAGAGTGAACATCAACTCTGAGATGCAGGTACATCCAGCTGACGAGTCCCAAACAGGACGAAACGCGCGTCCTGGATTCCACTGCTAGCCACTATCCATCTTTGCTTATAATGCTTGTAAATTTAGGCAATATCGAGGCATACGCACAGTATGCACATATGCCAATAAGAGACTGATCAATTTCAGTCCAAAAACATCAATGGGAAAATTCAAGTAAAACAATATCAAGTGAATTCAACTTCAACCCATTGCACAAGCAAGTGGCTATCAGGACTCAGTAGCTAAGTGGATAACGCGATGGCGTTTGAAGCGAACGGTACTGAGTTCGAGTCCCAGAGTGAACATCAACTCTGAGATGCAGGTACATCCAGCTGACGAGTCCCAAACAGGACGAAACGCGCGTCCTGGATTCCACTGCTAGCCACTATCCATCTTTGCTTATAATGCTTGTAAATTTAGGCAATATCGAGGCATACGCACAGTATGCACATATGCCAATAAGAGACTGATCAATTTCAGTCCAAAAACATCAATGGGAAAATTCAAGTAAAACAATATCAAGTGAATTCAACTTCAACCCATTGCACAAGCAAGTGGCTATCAGGACTCAGTAGCTAAGTGGATAACGCGATGGCGTTTGAAGCGAACGGTACTGAGTTCGAGTCCCAGAGTGAACATCAACTCTGAGATGCAGGTACATCCAGCTGACGAGTCCCAAACAGGACGAAACGCGCGTCCTGGATTCCACTGCTAGCCACTATCCATCTTTGCTTATAATGCTTGTAAATTTAGGCAATATCGAGGCATACGCACAGTATGCACATATGCCAATAAGAGACTGATCAATTTCAGTCCAAAAACATCAATGGGAAAATTCAAGTAAAACAATATCAAGTGAAAACAAGTAAATTATTCTAATGATGACATTTTATCATGAGCACTTAGTATATACAAGGTGATCGGTATGAGGAACAACACATAAAGATACACCTAAAATGAAGCAAAGGTACTCATGCTTGTGTGCAAGAAACAGTGCACTAAGGTAATTTTATAGGCTACCAATGTTGGCTATTTTAAAATAATACTGATTAGTTTTAATTATCAGGATGATTGCTTCGCTCATGACTGACCACAGATTCCCCTAGTTGAGAACTAAATTCGTTCATCTCGTTGTAATTTAGAGAGACGCTACATCAAACCCATCACAATTTTAAATAGATTAATAATCTCGTTGATAACCAGTTTTATGTTGTTTTGGTTTCCTAAACATCGTGAACATAGTTATTGCTGAGGGATGCCAATAAGCTTTCTATCTATCGATTTCAAAACAGTGCATTTCGTGAAAGAATCATACAACTTAGTTGTTATATTGTGCAACCTGAAAAGTAACTTTTAGTCATCAATGTTAAAGTGAAGTATGATGCTGGATAGTACCCATGTAATTATGTGTTTCATACATCAAATTACCGTCTACCCCAATGTAAAATGCTAGATATCACAGAGGTAGGTTGGAAAAAGTAATGGGGCATCCAAACCAACACATCACATCTAACTACGAAGTCATTAACCGTTATAATGTGCCTTTATGATAATCATATTCGATGGTTGTATATATCATCGCTGAAGAGCGGAATCATCAGCTTAGATATGTTTATTATTAATCTTCTACTGAGTTTTGAGACATTATTATTGCATAGCTTTGTTTGGTGAACCATTCTGAACCATATTCCCTGTTCATTTTTTATTGCTATCATTAATGTTATTTTCACTTTTTTGTGATCGGTCTCGTTAAATTGATCTTGTAATGCTATGATGAATTCTTATAGTTTACATGATAATTGTGTTAAGACTGGCCGAAATGTCGACAAAAAGACAATGGTCTTAAAAATATGTATGAAAATTCTCATCTTAAACATTTATATGACACCACCATGTTAGTAAGGCTGAGGTCCCATAATGTGTTTGGGCGATGTGATAACGATTAAAAGGGAGACGCCATCGTGAAACGACGTTGGTGGCTTAAATATGGTTTGTAGATATTATCCTAGTGACTTCCACACTATGCAGTAGTTGTCGATGCTAGAACTGGACCTCGAGTATGAAGGATGGCTGTATAGAACTCTGGAATGTCAGTCTATTGCAAATCTCCGATCAGTGTCTTAGAAACTGCAACTCAGTGATCTGAGATGGCATTAGATGTGGCTCAGAATGGAAGCCAGTGGAGAACCCGATGTAGTCTTCTGTCACATTTTTCATAAAAGTGGCATGGTCTTCACTTACTGAAGTCTTTGTTGATGTATAAATTGAATAAAAGTCCTTACCATTCAGTATATTAGTAATTACGCGATTAAATAGAGTCTAGTTTGAACAGAACAAAGAACAACAAATGTTTATTGATTTACACTTCCAACAAAATTTACACCATAACGAGTAACCATTCCGTGTAGTTATGGTTTCACATTATGCCTTTTAAATTATACGATGGCAAGACTCTTTTGTGTCTGAATCCCAAGTAATTTAGATAATAAATAATTTTTTTTTACCAAACTCTATAATTTAACTGGTAACTAGTATAACTGATCGAATTTTGTTTAACAATCTTAAACTAATTAACTATATTCTAATCCCCGTGACAGTTTAACAGAGAATTGATTCACCTACTTGTTTAAAAGCAAACCTAACGGACCTTAAACTTACTTCTAAAAATCGTCCATTTGGATAAATTGAGTTTAAACAATCAGATGTTTCAGTTATTTTGCACCATAATTGAACAGTTCGACTACTTAAATTCTCTGGCAATTGTTGATCAGATTTATCATCTTTGTCAAGATTATAATCGTTAGGGAGTTTAGTTTTGAATTTCTTCATTATCGATGCATATGAACTATATGTTGGAGAAATCCTGTTGGCAGCAGTGCTGCGATCGTGATTATCCACATCGTATTCGTCATCAGTATCATCATTTTCTACTTCATCCAAATTTAAATTAGTCCATATTGCTTCAAATAGATTATCATTATCAGTAGTATCCATTGTTAAAGAATCTAGACGAGTGTGTAATTGATTACTGGCTTGTTCACTAACTAATTCCAATGATTCTAAATGAAGTAATGCACGAGAACACTCCAGTTGATGAGTGAAATCACCGCATTTTTGTTTGTTGGGTTTTTGACTACTTGATTCGGTAGATGTATGCAATTCATAAGCTTCACGCAGCAACTATTTAAAGAAAATAATGATAAAACAACTATTATTATGTCTCATGAAAGTAGCGTGGCATTTATGTAATATGACCTAACCATATTTTATTTTTTGAATAATAAAAAATTTAACAGAATTTAAATTACTTTTAAGGAAACTTGCAGTTTCTGAAGTTCTATCTGAAGTTATTGTGTATGCACATTTTTGTTGTATAATTACTAAATAATTAAAATACTATATTTTCGGTATTTCCTACCTGTAAGCTTTTGTTTAATGCACAAACTTATTGTGTTTGACCTTTCTCAAGTTATTGTTAATGCTATAACGCTCGCGATTTACCTCGTCTAAAACGATTATCTACACTAGATCCCTACTAGTGTCTATTCTACAGGACGTCAACACAACTCAGATCAAGAACACGTAATTAGCCTGACCACAACGTGAATATACTTCCACACCAAAAACCGACACAGTCCACAACAATGAACAATCAATAATAAGTGCGTCACAATAATAAGGATAAGCGAATACATAACTTATATGACACCTGTCAGACTATCTACATGTCTGACTAAGTAGACAACCAATCATGATCATCCCCGCCCACACATCAGTTAATTCATTACGGGCCCATCACTCAATCGTCCTCCACTTGCATGGTTGTGCCCATATTGTAATTTCTTAATCCTGTTGATGTGTTTTCAGGATTTGGCTCTAATATTATCATTTGAATGATTCATAATTTCGAAATTCATAATTATATGTGCTTGCTGAGTTGTTCCCCATTCTGGTTATTGCACGAGCAAGTGTGGGAAAATGCATTCTGGACTAATGGGTATTTAGTTTTACTCCTGATTGTCATCTCACATTTAGCGTGCTGTTCTTTAACCGAAGGTCATTGGCACTAGGTCGACAGTCTGGTTGAGCTATTTAATATGCGGACTAGATCAATACAACTGCTCTCTTGTATTGCGATCCGATAACACGGGCCCCAAACAAACTAATCAAGAAAATGTATTCATTTTCACTGACTTCACTCTAACTAGTGACTTTAATTAATATTCTCTCTACTATGTTGAACTGATTGCAATGATTCCTAAATGGTGGTTACAACTCAAAATTTAGTTAGTAACTTGACCTACATATAATCCGAACCGAAGTAGGGAGTATGGGGTTTGAACTTACAACATAGTGATTGAAAATCCAGAATTTTAACTATCAAGTTAACGCTTCACTTATTCATAGAATAAGTGCTACAACTAAATATTTTGTGTCTTACTCAGTACGGAGGATTATTAGTCTGAAATACGTTCAAGTTTACACGACTTGCACAAGATCTGAAAAAAATAATCAAATGTACAGGAAAATAGATCGACATACTATTAGTCTTTTGTTGCATCAAATAATATTACCCCAGAAGCAGACAACTCATCAGATAAGCACAAAGAATATAACCTTCTGTACCCAGTGACTTAAACACTCACTTCAAAATCTACTGATACATTTCTTCCTGTATTTGATACCTTCTACTGCTACTGATACTTTTACTACTTCTACTAGTTTGAGACTTATCTTGAAATAATTGCATCTTTCTGTGCTATTGTGGTATTTTAACTTGAACCGATGCATAAAATGTGTCAGGTTCTACTTCATGTATAACTGAATGACACTGAAAAATTGATTAGATGAATTCTGCTGACTGATTCAACAATAAAATAGACCGTCTAGCAAGATTACTTTGATGAATTAGTGGTGTGGAACAAAATCAAGAGTAGAGAAAATCTCGTCTTGACGATCAATAACCTAAAATATAGATTTTTAATTCCGCTACCTCCCACGATGCTCTCATTATAGAAACGTACCCCATAAATTTCGTTCGATGTGTAAAACTGAAAATTCGAAAGGAAAAAACAGTCCATGTTTAAATACGAAAACAAACCTTAGAAAGATTTGGACAATTATTAATAGCATTTGGTGGACGTAAAAACTTTTTGGTATAGTTGAAACCAGGATCATTTTCAGCCAATACAGACATCGTTTTACGTCCGATTAATTCCAGAACATCGACACCTCCTTGTACTAAATTTAAACTCTATAACAATCGCAAACATAATGAAAAAATTTACTTCGTGTGCATTCTGTCAAGATAACCCGTCAATAGCAATGTAGATATAAGAAGCAAAGTATGAAAGTGATTGAGGAACATGGTTCAAACATTCGTTAACGCGAACGAAAGATAAGAGACAAGAAAAATGCATGTGAACAGGAATGACAGAAACAGCCAACTTTATTTAGCCGAAATGACTCAACATTTACAGGCATGATAGATACAAGCAATCATGTAGACCTTAAATACTTCAGGCACACATGCTTGTCACACATAAATGGCAAAACGACCGGAACAATAAGAATAACTCGTCCGTCCAAAAGTAAGGACACACCATGTAAGTGTATAGCAATACCAGTCGGGCAAAAATGTGCTACGCTAGCAGCCTTGAGCGAAATAATTAGAACCAAGATATCTCCCCATAATTTTTTGGCGAAACTGAGCGTCCAGTGAAGGACAACTTGTATGTTATTATGAACAAGGTAAGAAATTAGCATCGTTTGGTTCTTTAAATCGATAAATACTTATTATGCAACCAGTGAATATAAGATAGTGATTAAGTCAAATTACAAGAAATATCTGATCTTGGTACAGATTGCATGTTAGAGTACTTAGTATGATCCAATGTATAGTTCAGGATGTTTAGTGTAGCTAGATAGCATTCTTCCACTCTTAACTTCCATTATCAATAATAAGTTTATTCAATTTGTAATTAGAATAGTGGCAAGTAAAGTATCATTTCATTACAGCTGGTTTAAGCTGGTGATGAAAATCCTAACGTTAATATGTAAGCCGAACTCATAATATATAACCCTGACCTTTTGGCACCATAGCTGACGTCAGTTGTTAGCGAAAGCCTTATTGGATTAAAACTCAATCTTACAACCTTTAACCTAACTCCTAATATGTAAACTTAACCAATTCGCATGACTATAAGAAATAATTCAACATATGACGAAGACCAACTGGAAAGGGATGAACCCCAAACGAATAACCTGATAGAACTGGAGTCAGTCAGGTTACGTGTAACCCAGTTGGAGAAAAAAATTGAACTATAAAAGTTACGTTGTCAAGAGAATGAAGGTTTCCGTCAATCAGTAAGCAATAGCGAGAATATAATAGTGAAAAATCTGCATTTACCAAAAGAAATCTTAAAATTCGATGGTACACCAATAAATTACTGGAATTTTATTAGAAAATTCGAAGAATGTATAGGCAGTGAGGATATTGGAACCAGAGCTAGGTTGAATTACTTAATTCAGTATTGTGATGCAGAAGCGAGAACAGCTATCCTTCATTGTACTATGCTAGAACTGGCGATAGGTTATCATAAAGCATTAAAGATATTTGAGGAAACGTTTGGCCAAAAAAAGCACGTATGTTTATTGGCAACTTGTTAATTTTTTCGAATATAAGGAAGCAACCAGACGGTTTGAGAAGATTGTCACGAGAAATGCAAGCATGTGGTCTGACTCTCGAACAAATGAATTACGTTTCTGATTTGAACTCCTCTAGAACTATTGAAACTACGGTTCTGAAATTATCAACACACGTCCAACAGTAGCGGCTAAAGGTAGCTTATAAGATTATTAAAGGAGGTCGAGAGCCTCTGTTTAACAATCTTATTGAGTTTGTAAAGGACCATGCTGATATAGCTAACACTAGATATGGTCTACTTGTTAACCATGGTAGTAATAGTGACAATAGAGATGTGGGTGTTGTAAAGGGGAAATTTAGTGCAGATTACAATGCAGCAAGGATATTGTACGCAAGTCCTAATGATGTTTCCTTACATGACGGATATGGGTACCATAGTTCACATTGTTTGGAGTGCTCAGGGAATCATTTATCTAGACCAATGCCAGAAGTTTAAAAGCAAAAGTGTATTGGTCGAAAAAGCTTCCGGGGCCGTTTTTGTTTATCGGAACCATGATTTACCAACGAAACTTAAAACGTTAGATAATCTGAAGTCATTTTAGTACTATGGCAAATCGATGCGATAGGGAAACTAGACTATTAAGTCTAAATGAATATCTTTGATGGAGTAGCTTTTTGAGATTAGATTAATTTTTAAGCAGTAATCACCACAAATTGACTTCAGTTGGGGTGTTTTTGCCAATACGGGGTGTTGGGCAGATATTTTGTTGATGTAAGCCATTAGGTACACAGTCAGTGTTCCCCGACAGATCCGTTAAATTACTTTTATACAAAACTGAGATCAACAGTCACTCAAACTAAATGGGACTGGTTCAGTGTTTTACTCTGAACAATTACATACACTACTTCAACGCTATTTTAATGCCAGTGACTAAATTATGAAGGAATTTTAAAATTCATATATATATATAACACTTCGAAATCTCTTTTAACTATCATTATTAATGTAGGATAGCTAAAGATAATTACTAGCAAATTATTAATACGAACTTATTACTCCGAACATATACTCTAAGTATGAGTTTCAAAACGATGAAACGTTAGCTCAAAAATCCTACAACTTACAGTTGCTTGTAGTGAAGAGGTCAATTGTTGGCCGAATGAAGATAGACCACTCCAACCCCATGAAAAATTGCTGCTACTTGTCTTTTGTTCTACATCGCGCTTTTCTATGTTTGACGAAATCTGGCTACCACATGAAGAATTGTTAGTTGAGTCAAGACTCTTCGAATTTTTAAACATTGAGTAATTTATGTTGCTTGACTGTGATTCAGATATATCGCCTGATTCCTCCAGAAAGTCTACTTCCCAGCCACCACTCTGTTCATTGTCGTCATCTTCCTCTCGATTGTCATCGTCATTAGTCCACGATGTATTCCAAACACTGTTCCATGTATCTAATATTACTTTCCTTTCGCTTTCCTCTCCAGATTGTACTTCAACTCTTCGTTTTAGTACTTCGTCATATGGTGAATTTCCTTTTATTACATCCCCTAGCACAACAAGTGAACTCATCCCATTACCCTGACCACGTGGGATGTTTGGAGCAACTGAAGTTGTGAAATCTACTTCTGTTGAAGATTCAACTGTCGAAAGTTTATCTGTTTCAGAATGAAGTTGAAGTGATGTGATGGGATTTATAATATCTGCTATTACAGGGAGTTGTTCAGTTATGAATTCGCTCACTTTGGAGCATTTATTGGTGTCATCATTAATAACTTGTTCCTCTTTATTACTGATCGGAAAATCACTTCGTTTATCTACGAAATTATTCCCTTCATTTGAACCTACTCTCTCCATTTTAGATTTTACACATTTTACTGGCCCCTCAAACTTTTTGGAAGGACGGAAAGATGAAAGTTGTTGGTCATGTTTTTCATTTTTATTAGCGCTAAACCCGACAGATGTGACTTCTCCAAGATTTTTCTTTGAGTTGATATTCAACGGTGTTTCATTAACCTTGAATCCCATGAAAAAAAAGTACTTTCAAAACTTGCAATAACCGGTTAACGTTAAAACCGATGATTTTCATAAAGATGTTGATCAATCATTAAAAATTTGCAAATCAAAGTAATAACTTATGAACTATGGCCTAATATGTAAACCACACTGACAGTTTGACAGTCAACTACATTGCCAAAGAGTCATGCAAAATAGAACAAAGATACTACACTTAGTGGATGACAATCAAGTGTTGCGATTTCCTGATAACAGTTGGATAACTGTTATGGTGAAAAGATGTTGGTGAATGATTATTAACATTACAGTGTGGCTCCAAATCTTCGACAAAATAGCTGACCCTATTCAATTTTATTATTCGGATACATCTGTTTACTTGAGATAAACAAAGATACAGACTAATAGAAAACTTTTCAATTCCAAAGTGTTCATTATCTAGACACCATATATTCCATTAAAATAAAAAAAACTTTCAGCTTACTTTTTCAAACTTTTTGGGCACAGATTGTAATTTCGTTTGTTTGGCAGTTTTCTTTCTTGATTCAACTACATTTGACTTTTTTGTCGATGACGCTGGATTTGCAAGTTGCTTAGATAAAATATTTGGATTACTATAGTCGTGATTATCGACGTTCTCTTTAAAATTAGACTGTAGATGATTTTTCACTGGGTTGTTCGCTTCAACACTAATATGGATACTTTCATCTGCACTAGCAAAGGCATCACTGTCATCTGACATTATTTTTGGCCTTACTTTTTAGATGAATCAGCTGAAGGATGAATGCATAATATATAGAATATAGTTGTGACACTAATTACATTATTTGCGATCAGAAGTTCAAAAATTGATGCGTTTAGTTACGTAAATTAATTTTCTACTGTGCTTGGTTAAATAAGCATCAGATAAGCTATGGAATTATTTCCGATATACAAAATAACTATTTACTGTTAGTTCTCACACTACGATTTTTGCAATCGAGGAAAAATGTCCGTGAGTAGTAACTGTGTGTTGGGTATTGCTCTTGAAGAGTCAATCCTGTAAGAAGGCATGTCCTATAAAAAAGCAGTAAACCTGTAGTGAACGAGAACACAAGTGGAGACAGTCGAATGTGTTTGAATACAAAATTACAGAACATCTTAGTAAAATCTGAGAACCATACAGTAAATTCTTCATTTGCAAAATGTCAATCAATCGTCTCAGACTTCACTGTTATTTCGTTCGCACACCGATCATTCTTTGTACTCGTTCTCTTTTCTTCGATCTTATTAACCTTCTACTGCCAGACACTCCACTTTCGAGTGACGATACATACTACTTATATCTGTCGACATCTGTAGCACACCACAAACCCACCCTCTAAGATCACAGAGCTAAACCAGGAAGAAAACGTTTGTAAACTCTATTGAATCAAATGTTATTTTTCAAGTGATATTAAACAAAATTGGTGGCCTAAATGCAAAAATAATAATCATATTCATACCTTTTAAAATGTCTTTATTCAAGCGTCCCCTGGTTAAATAAAAAAGTCTATCTATATTGAATTTATGAATATAAGTTGGGAACTTTGTGAAGCAAAAACTAGGCTCACATTTTAATTATAAAAATCTAGAGTTGAAGTCCTTACTTTTTCTGATAATCAGCTAGTGATTTTTCAGTATAAACACTTATACGTACCTAAGAGCGTTATAATTATCTCCAGACGATACCTTGAACAGGAAATAGTGAAATGTAATTCAGATTGTTAAATAAACAAATCATGAGTCTGAATACGATATGGTTCAAGAAATCGCATTCCATTCCATAAAATTCTTTTCACACCAAAGGCATAGCTTTGAGGAGGGCCATTAAAAAGTCTTGATTTCTCGAAGTTTCTTGATAGGGTAGACCATATCGTATCAGTAAGTTTAACCAGACAGTTATCCAGTCACTGTTGACAGACTAGCATAGGTGATAGCTAAGTAATCAGCATATCACTAAATTGCAGTTTAGGAGCTCAACCTCAAGCTTTATGAGGAACGCCTTAAATTAATAGATCTCTAGTTATTCGAGTAAGGGGAACTTAGAGGCGATTTTCTGACAACCTACAGCATTTTAAGAGTTTAATCTTCATGAGTAGTCAAGACTTGGAATTCCTTGACAACTGAGGTGGTTAAGTAACTTTCTAAGAGTTCTTCAAAGGAAAACATGACATATTACTAGGGAGTTCGGACAGTATATCACACAAAATTGCAAACACTTCTCTTCTGCTCGTTTTATACACCTAGGTCCCTACTTCGAGGTATCGATTACATGCTATTAGACATAAAGGCTCTTTAAGCAAATGCTCCTTCTATTCCGTCTATAACCATTTGAACTTGATAATTACTTGTCGTTATATTGTTTTCATCCCTAAATCAGTCAGTTGCAACGTAGGACCAGGCACGTACATGCATCGGTTCAAGTTGCCAAACTTCATTAGCACAACAAGATGAACACAAAATTCATAGTAGTCACTTCAATGGTAGTAATACATAAAAGAAGGATTGCATAGAAGGATATAGTACAGGAAGAAAGAATTAGTTCGTAGAAATAAAGCAATTTTAATCTCGCGGTTTAAGGGCAGACAAAGAATGTATACACCGACACCATTATTATCGATTATGAGCTATGTCACTCAGTCTCCAACCATAGATTACGATACCAACTTTACTCAGCTACATACCATTTTAAAATAGATAAGATGGTGAAAGTTAACTCTAGGGAAAGGTTCTTATTTCATTTAATCTGTTCAAATCTAGGTCAGTGATTTTGTACCTGGTCTCTGAATTCCTTGTACGTTTAATGGCTCCATCGTTACGAATAAGTTTAATGAATGATTGAAGACATTAGTAGTATATTCGTAGTATCTTACCAGATAACTCTAAAGGAGTTCAGGTAAAAAAAACTGGTTAGAATAGGCAAGAGGACTGAGGACATTGTTGAACCCCAACCATGCAGACTCCTTAAGGTAATCCTAGGATCGGAGAAGCAACGGGATCTCCTGTTAAGTAGCGCTCGTTGTCACGACAATTCCGACATCCGAGTTAGACCTGATATGCCTCTCGAAGAGGGCACAAGCTGAACTAGAAACCGGTCGGCAAAACGGTGAGGAAAATCTCCGGCTAGTGGGTTTTCGGATAGTCAGGTCTTGGAAGTGAATGCTATCAAGGCCTGTGTGGATAAGCCGTTCTACTTAGAAGTTTTATATGCCAACGCTTGTAGTCTAAAAAATGAGTTCTATGAACTAGAAGCATCAGTGCACAGATTAAAGTCACTCATTGTAGCAGTGACAGAAGCTTGGTTAGTCCATGACTTAGACATTACTCCAGAATTATCCGGATACCATTACTTCAGGAGTGGTAGACATAGATGTAGAAAAGGAGGTGGTGTCCTGTTATGTATACCCAATAGTATAAATATTCTTTCCTCTGCTAGCGAATCCCACGGTAGCGGTACTTGTGAAGTCATTAACTGTAAATTGGCTATCAGATGTAGTACATTTATGCTCGGTGTCATCTATTGAAGCCCGATCTGCTTAGCTGATGACTTTATTTTAGAGCACATTCATCTTTGGAGTGCAAATACCAGATGCTTGATAATAGGAGACTTTAATGCACCTGATATTAGTTGAACTGAGATGACCACGGAAGGATCTATAAACTCCTTTGATAGTAGATTCCTGATAACAATAACGGAGCATGCACTAGTGCAGCATTTTGGTGGAGTTTTGTTATCTGAGCTAGATGGTTTGGTCGTGGAGCTTTCATCGTTCTTCTGAACGACATCATCAGCACAAACTTCAGATAGAAGTCGTTCAGAAGAACGATGAAAGCTACACGACCAAACCATCAAGCTCAGAGAACAAAACTCCACCAAAATCATCCACCTGAGCTACAAATCTTCTCCACTAGTGCAGCATGTATCCAAACCCACACGTTTTGGTGTTAACCAAGGTTCTTCTCTGTTGGACTTGGTAATCACTCATGATACTAAGGATATTGTCGACCTAAATATTCTTCCACCGTTAGTGACCAACGATCACGCTGTTTTGTCATTCACGTTTAGAACTAGGGACATGTTATACGATCAGGTTACACCCCGCCCAAATGTATAGAAGGCTAACATATCAGCCATTCAGAAAAGCACTGCTAAGACAGATTGGTTTGTAGATACTAGCTTATCAGTCGAAGAAGCATGGTCTGTATTTAAAGGTAAGTTTAGTTTAGTTACGTTCTCGTTCATACCATACCTGGTTTTATTTATTTATTTGAACACATAAATATTGGTACAAGAGGACACCAAATATATATACGCCACACATGTGTGGCCTGTGATACTGCCTGGGTGCCCAGACCGAAGCAGGTGGTTATCTTAGGGGGCCACACCCCGAGCCTTTGATCTAAAGGTCTGACCCACAAGGCAGTGGAGCATCGTGAGGAGATGCAGTACCATGGTAGCCGGTGACCAAAATTTGGTTCATACGCTATTTGTTCCCGCAGGATACTGGAGCCCATGTGCACCATTGGTTTGGAATCCGGTTAAAGCGCCGGACATTCGCTTTTCGCCCTCTCATTTTCGTAAACAACCCCCCCCCATGAGAAGGCAGTGAGTAGGACTTCCCTGGCAGAGGCTGTATGCGCGTGACCGTGTGAGAGCATTTCGAGATGGGGGAAGGGCCCACCCCCACTCTCGGCCATACCAGAGCATTTGGGAGCCCATACTTGATACCTCGTAGACCGAATAACAGTCCACCGTGGATAACTAAAACAGTCAAGAAACTTCTTAGAAAAAGGAAGGAGCACTGGAATATGTTCATCTCTACGGGCTTAGAACAATACAGATCCAGTTATTGTAAGATTAGGAATGCCTGTAAAGCGTTAATAAGTAAGAGTAGATCATATGAAAAACAATTGGTTAGGGATTCTAGATATAGTCCGAAACGGTTATTCTTGTATTTAAAAAGGCAAACTCACAGAAGAGATGGAATCCCATCACTTTTGATACAAGAAAATCCCTTAATCTTGGCAGAAAATGATACCGAAAAAGTTGAAGCTTTATCTGAATATTTCAGTAAAGTGTTTCCTATCGGTAATGAAGAACGACCAACGACTCATCGTGATCGTGGCGGCTCGCTGATGGACCCTGTGGTCATTGAGAAAGTTACTGTTTTAAGGCTACTTCAGCATCTCAAGCCTGATAAGTCCAGTTGTCCTGATAATATTCATCCTAGGATTATGGAAGCCATATCAGATGAAATTGACGAACCATTAGCGGTACTGTTTGACATGTCTCTGATGCAGTCTAGACTGCCCAGAGACTGGAAAGACGCTATAATAAGTCCGGTGTATAAGGCTGGGAGTAGGGATTTAATTAGTAACTATAGATTCGTTAGCTTAACTAGTGCAGTTGTAAAACCGATGGGAAAAATCATTCGGATATCTGTTATAAACTATGTTGAAGGGCATAATCTTTTCTCCAGGGAACAACATGGTTTTCGGAAAGACCTAGCATGCTTGACAAATCTTCTCATTGCAAGAGAAGATTGGGCTGTTGCAAAAGATCGGAATATTCCTGTGCATGTAATTTTCATAGATCTAAGTAAGGCCTTCGATAAGGTCTCCCACTCTGGTCTTAAATTCAAACTGGAACGTTTTGGAACCCATTATACAGTCGTGGATTGGATAAGTAACTTTCTCCATGACAAGAGACAAAGGGTAAAGGTTAATGGGGCTCCCTCCTCGTGGGTACCTGTAAAAAGTGGCGCTCCCCAAGGTACAATCCTCGGTCCT